GGCCCCTGCTGCCCGGCGCGTGCGGGTTGGCAGCTGCAGCTGGGATCCTGATCCCCCTCTCGCCGCCCGCCTGCCCACGGAGGGGCCCTCTTCCCCAAGGGGGTCTTCCCAGGGCCGGCTCCCCTTTGCTTGCAAACCATCCCGAGAGTCACGTGTCTCGATTTCGCGCCGGGGGCCACAGGTGGCGCGGGACAGCTGGCACGTCGCGGCGTTTGGAGTCTAGATCTGTCCCTGTTTCACTGTGTGTCCTTGGGCAGAGTACTAACCCTCTCTGGGCTCCATGCACAGGGCCAGGTCTTTAATTGAGCACTCGCACTGCAAGAGTCCAGGCGAGTTGAAATGGCCAGTTTAGGGAGTTCTTAAGTTTATTAAAGGTGTAGGCATTTTTTTTTTCTTATTTTGGCCACTTTCCTGGAAAGATTTGTCTAGGTGGGGCAGGATGGGAAGACAGGAGGCCCTTCTAGACTTTGGACCACTTGGAGGTGTGGGTGCCGCCTGTCCGGCCTTTGGCGGTGGGCACCGGCCGCTTCCACCCACGGAACTGCGGCTGTGCGCAGCGTGTTAAAATCCGGGGAAGTGGGCCGGAGCACAGCCGCTTCTGTCTTGGCTCTTGGGTGCTGCGCCCTAAGTTCCCTGTGCCATCGCCCCACCCAAGGCCTCCAGGACTAACAAAAAGCCCAGGTGTCCCAGAGGAGCAGGCCCCCAAGGAAGCGGCGCGCCCGGGGCCCTCAGGGCCTCGCGGGAGCCGAGTCTGCATGCCAGCCGGGAGGCCGGGCCATCAGACACCAACGGCCTTGTCCCCGGGCCAGGACAGGCCCCCACGACTCCTCCTGTCCTCGCCGGCTGGAGATCAAACGCTGACAGGGCAGCTGTGTCCTTCCCAGTCTGACAGGCAATTTCAAGTCCTGTCCTGGGCCGAGGAGCGGGGGAAGGCGACTTCCAGGTTGCAGTGATTGTCGGGGAGGCCAGGAGGGAAGTGGGGGGGTCTCATGGAGTCACCTTCTGCCCATCGGGCCACACCTCCTTGAGGGGTCAGCGAGTTCCAGGCCCCCCTCCCCCGGGCAGCGCCCCCCTTCGTCCCAGGCTTTCCGGGGGATCCTGGTGTTTGTGGGTGGGGCCTTTTTGGACCCCTAGGAGTTAACAGGGTGAGGGAGGGCAAGGGTTTGCGTGAAAATCCTTTGTGGGATGAGATTTAAATAAGGTTCCAGATTCCTGTCCCCCCATCCCTGCTGTACTTCTGATTGTGTCCTCTTATTTTTGTCCACCCCCTTCTTCCTGTGTGTAACACCAGGATTTGTATGGAGACACTTTTTGGAAGTTTAGTCCAGACCCCCAATAGAACAAAAGTAAAAGCAGCCACTTTTTCAGGAAAGGCAAGCACTTGATCTTATCCCCCAGGGCCTAGGTTCAGTCTAACCCTTCCCACATCTCCCCCTTCCCATCCCCAAGTTTTTTTTGGGGGGTGAGGGTTGGGGGTGGAGACTGGCACTGATTTAGTTTACTTCACTCACACGGCACCCCGCCCCCCTTCTCAGGGGGTCCTGCTCCCAGGAGGGAAGGAGGCTTGGGGAAGATTTTCTTTTATTTAAAAATATCCTGCCAACCGCCCCCCTCCCCCCACTTTCGCGCAGCCTGTGCTTGGGGATGAGACCGGCGCACAAAAACGCGGTTTGCACGTGTGGCCGGCTTGGGCTGCGGGTGTGCGCACGGCGAGTGTGTGTGTGTGTGTATGTGAGTGTGCGCGCGCGTCTGTGTGTGCTTTCTTGTTCTCTTCCAGGGTACAATGTTAAAAAGCCACCGCTAGTCGCCCCCAGTGCTCCGACTCTCTGGGTCTTTTTGTCTCTAGTGCAGATTAAACGTCACGTCCGCACTTGAACTTGAATTTTATCCCATTGTACAGAGGCAGCCCCAGCCATAGAGAGACCGAGAGCTCCCGGAGAACCCGGACTCCGCCATCTTCACGGTGCAATC